ACAGCCTCCTCCACCAGAGGACAGACAGCAGAAGCAAGAAGAACTACAATCCTGCAGCCTGTGGAACAAAAACCACATTCACAGAAAGATAGACAAGATGAAAAGGCAGAAGGCTATGTACTAGATGAAGGAACAGGATAAAACCCAAGGAAAACAACTAAATGAAGTGGACACAGACAACCTTCCAGAAAAATAATTCAGAATAATGATAGTGAAGATGATCCAGGACCTCGGAAAAACAATGGAGGCAAAGATTGAGAAGATGCAAGAAATGTTTAACAGAGACCTAGAAGAATTAAGGAACAAACAAACAGAGATGAACAATACAATAACTGAAATGAAAATTACACTAGAAGGAATCAATAGCAGAATAACTGAGGCAGAAGAATGGATAAGTGACCTGGAAGACAGAAGGGTGGAATTCACTGCTGCAGAACAGAATAAAGAAAAAAGAATGAAAAGAAATGAAGACAGCCTAAGAGACCTCTGGGACAACATTAAATGCAACAACATTTGCATTATAGGGGTCCCAGAAGGAGAAGAGAGAGAGAAAGGACCCGAGAACATATTTGGAGAGATTATAGTCGAAAACTTCCCTAACATGGGAAAGGAGATAGCCACCCAAGTCCAGGAAGGTCAGCGAGTCCCATACAGGATAAACCCAAGGAGAAACACACTGAGACACCTACTAATCAAATTGGCAAAAATTAAAGGCAAAGAAAAATTATTGAAAGCAGCAAGGGAAAAATGACAAATAGCATACAAGGGAACTCCCATAAGGTTAACAGCTGATTTCTCAGCAGAAACTCTACAAGCCAGAAGGGAGTGGCATGATATACGTAAAGTGATGAAAGGCAAGAACCTACAACCAAGATTACTCTACCTGGCAAGGATCTCATTCAGATTCAATAGAGAAATTAAAAGCTTTACAGACAAGAAAAAGCTAAGAGGATCCAGCACCACCAAACCAGCTCTACAACAAATGCTAAAGGAACTTCTCTAAGTGGGAAACACAAGAGAAGAAAAGGACCTACAAAAACAAACCCAAAACAATTAAGAAAATGGTCATAGGAACATACATATCAATTACCTTAAATGTGAATGGATTAAATGCTCCAACCAAAAGATACAGGCTTGCTGAATGGACACAAAAAACAAGACTCATACATATGCTGTCTAAAAGAGACCCACTTCAGACCTAACGACACATACAGACTGAAAGTGAGGGGATGGAAAAAGATATTCCATGCAAATTGAAATCAAAAGAAAGCTGGAGTAGCTATACTCATATCAGGCAAAATAGACTTTAAAATAAAGAATGTTACAAGAGACAAGGAAGGACACTACATAATGATCAAGGGATCAATCCAAGAAGAAGATATAATAATTACAAATATATATGCACCCAACATAGGAGCACATCAATACATAAGGCAACTGCTAACAGCTATAAAAGAGGAAATCGACAGTAACACAATAATAGTGGGGGACTTTAACACCTCACTTACACCAATGGACAGATCATCCAAAATGAAAATAAATAAGGACATGACACAATAGACCAGATAGATTTAATTAATATTTAGAGGACATTCCATCCAAAAACAACAGATTACACTTTCACCTCAAGTGCTCACGGAACATTCTCCAGGATAGATCACATCTTGGGTCACAAATCAAGCCTCAGTAAATTTAAGAAAACTGAAATCATATCAAGCATCTTTTCTGACCACAACGCTATGAGATTAGAAATGAACTACAGGAAAAAAAAAAAAAAACGTAAAAAACACAAACACATGGAGGCTAAATAATACATTACTAAATAACCAAAAGATCACTGAAGAAATCAAAGAGGAAATCAAAAAATACCTAGAGACAAATGACAATGAAAACATGATGATCCAAAACCTATGGGATGCAGCAAAAGCAGTTCTAAGAGAAAAGTTTATAGCTATACAAGCGTACCTCAAGAAACAAGAAAAATGGCAAATAAACAATCTAATCTTACACCTAAAGGAACTAGAGAAAGAAGAACAAACAAAACCCAAAGTTAGCAGAAGGAAAGAAATCATAAAGATCAGAGCAGAAATAAATGATATAGAAACAAAGAAAACAATAGCAACGATCAATAAAACTAAAAGCTGGTTCTTTGAGGAGGTAAACAAAATTGATAAACCATTAGCAAGACTCATCAAGAAAAAGAAGGAGAGGACTCAAATCAATAAAATTAGAAATGAAAAAGGAGAAGTTACAACAGACACCACAGAAATACGAAGCATCCTAAGAGACTACTACAAGCAACTCTATGCCAATAAAATGGACAACTTGGGAAAAATGTACAAATTCTTAGAAAGGTATAACCTTCCAAGACTGAAACAGGAAGAAATAGAAAATATGAACAGACCAATCACAAGTAATGGAATTGAAACTGTGATTAAAAATCTTCCAACAAACAAAAGTCCAGGACCAGATGGCTTCACAGGTGAATTCTATGAAATATTTAGAGAAGAGCTAACACGCATCCTTCTCAAACTCTTCCAAAAATTTGCAGAGGAAGGAACACTCCCAAATTCATTCTCTGAGGCCACCATCACCCTGATACCAAAACCATACAAAGATACTACAAAAAAAGAAAATTACAAACCAATATCACTGATGATTATAGATGCAAAAATCCTTAACACAATACTAGCAAACAGAATCCAACAACACATGAAAAGGATCATGCACCATGATCAAGTGGGATATATCCCAGGGATGCAAGGATTCTTCAGTATACGCAAATTAATCAATGTGCTACACCATATTAACAAATTGAAGAATAAAAACCATATGACCATCTCAATAGACACAGAGCTTTGGACAAAATTCAACACTCATTTATGATAAAAACTCTCCAGAAAGTGGGCATAGAGGGAACCTACCTCAACATAATAAAGGCTATATATGACAAAACCACAGCAAACATCATTCTCAATGGTGGAAAACTGAAAGCATTTCCTCTAAGATCAGGAAAAAGACAATGATGTCCATTCTCACCACTATTATTCAACATAGTTTTGGAAGTCCTAGCCATGGCAGTCAGAGAAGAAAAAGAAATAAAAGGAATACAAATTGGAAAAGAAGAAGTAAAACTGTCACTGTTTGCAGATGACATGATACTATACATAGAGAATCCTAAAGATGCCACCAGAAAACTACTAGAGCTACTCAGTGACTTTAGTAAAATTGCAGGATACAAAATTAATGCACAGAAATCTCTTGCATTCTTATACCCTAATGATGAAAAATCTGAAAGAGAAATTAAGGAAACACTCCCATTTACCATTGTAACAAAAAGAATAAAATACCTAGGAATAAACCTACCTAGGGAGGCAAAAGACCTGTATGCAGAACACTAGAAGACACTGATGAAAGAAATTAAAGATGACACCAACAGATGGAGAGATATACCATGTTCTTGGATTGGAAGAATAAATATTGTGAAAATGACTATACTACCCAAAGCAATCTACAGATTCAATGCAATCCCTATCAAATTACCAATGGCATTATTTACAGAACTAGAATAAAAAATCTTAAAATTTGTATGGAGATGTAAAAGACCCAGAATAGCCAAAGCAGTCTTGAGGGGAACAAACGGAGCTCGAGGAATCAGACTCCCTGACTTCAGACTATACTGCAAAGCTACAGTAATCAAGACAATATGGTACTGGCACAGAAACAGAAACATAGATCAATGGAACAAAATAGAAAGCCCGGAGGTAAACCTACGCACCTATGGTCAACTAATCTATGACAAAGGAGGCAAGGATATACAATGGAGAAAATACAGTCTCTTCAATAAGTGGTGCTGGGAAAATGGGACAGCTACATGTAAAAGAATGAAATTCGAACACTCCCTAACACCATACACAAAAATAAACTCAAGATGAATTATAGACCTAAATGTAAGACCGGACACTATAAAACTCTTAGAGGAAAACATAGGAAGAACAGTCTTTGACATAAATTACAGCAAGATCTTTTTTGATCCACCTCCTAGAGTAATGGAAATAAAAACAAAAATAAACAAATGGGACCTAATGAAGCTTAAAAGCTTTTGCACAGCAAAGGAAACCAAAAACAAGACGAAAAGACAATCCTCACAATGGGAGAAAATATTTGCAAACAAATTAATGGACAAAGGATTAATCTCCAAAATATATAAACAGCTCATGCTGATATTAAAAAAACAAACAACCCAATCCAAAAATGGGCAGAAGGCCTAAATAGACATTTCTTCAAAGAAGACATACAGATGGCCAAGAAGCACAAGGAAAAGTGCTCAACATCACTAATTGTTAGAGAAATGCAAATCAAAACTACAATGAGGTATCACCTCACACCAGTTAGAATGGGCTTCATCAGAAAATCTACAAACAACAAATGCTGGAGAGGGTGTGGAGAAAAGGGAACCCTCTTGCACTGCTTGTGGGAATATAAACTGATACAGCCACTATGGAGAACAGTATGGAGGTTCCTTAAAAAACTAAAAATAGAATTACCATATGATCCAGTGCGGCGAGCCGCCTCCGACCAGCAGAATGACGAGTCGCCACACGCAAGATTCTTCTCGTATCACACTTTATTGGAGCACAGCTTGGTTAAAGAAAAGATGGAAGGAAGACACCGCAATCCTATAGCAGTCTGCTTATATAGGGATTAAGAACATGTGTCGCTCTGTGATTGGCTTTCGCCGATGGTGCGACTTGTGAGCCAGCATCGGATAGGTCGCTACTTTAAAACCTCATTAGTATACTTAGCACAAGCGCAGTGGCCACAGGAAGGATGATTCAGCTTACTTCAGCTTCCTGCTGCGTGGCAGTTAGCTGACCGCGCCCTACAATCCAGCAATCCCACTACTGGGCATATACCCGGAGAAAACCGCAATTCAAAAAGGCACATGCACCCCAATGTTCATTGCAGCACTATTTACAATAGCCAGGTCATGGAAGCAACCTAAATGCCCATCGACAGACGAATGGATAAAGAAGATGTTGTACATATATACAATGGAATATTACTCAGCCATAAAAAGGAATGACATTGGGTCATTTGTTGAGACGTGGATGGATCTACAGACTGTCATATAGAGTGAAGTAAGTCAGAAAGAGAAAAACAAATATCGTACATTAACGCATATATGTGGAACCTAGAAAAATGGTATAGATGAACCTGTTTCAGGGCAGAAATTGAGACACAGATGTAGAGAACAAATGTATGGACACCAAGGGGGGAAAGCTGAGGTGTGTTGGGGGTGGTGGTTTGATGAATTGGGCGATTGGGATTGACATGTATACAGTGATGAGTATAAATTGATAACTAATAAGAACCTGCTGTATAAAAACAGATACAAAAACCTGAGCCTAGGGGCTTAGGGGAGGGATGGAGTGGGAGGTTGGGGTTAGCAGATGTAAGCTATTATATATGGAATGGATAAACAACAAGGTCCTACTGTATAGCACAGGGAACTATATTCAGTATCCTATGATAAACCATAAAAAAAAAAAGTAAGCAGAAAGATGGAAATTCCAAGAAGGAACCAAAAAGGAAAGCTAGAGATTAAAACAACAACAACAACAAAAACCCAAAAAATAATAACACTGTAACAGAAAAGATGAATGCCTTTGATAGGATTATTAGTAGACTGGACATAGCTGAGAAAAGAATCTCTGAGCTTGAGGATATCTTAATAGGAAGCTCTAAAACTCAAAAGTAAATAGCAAAAAAGATGGAAAAGAAAACCCAGAATATCCAAGAACTGTGGAATAACTATAAAAGTTGCCATATGAGTGTAACACATACATAATGGAAATACCAGAAGGAGAAGAGAATGGAACAGAATAATTGCAGGAAACAAATAGGACCAAAAATTTTAACTAAGTTAATGTCAGATGCCAAATCACAGATCCAGAGAACACCAAGCAGTATAGATACCAAAAAAAATGGAAAAAAAAAAAAAACTACAGCTAGGCATATCATTTTCAGAACACAAAAAATCAAAGGTAAAGGAAAAATCCTGAAAGAAGCCAGAGGGAGGAAAATACTTTTTCTGTTTAGGAGCAAAGATAAGAATTACAACTGACTTATTCTCAGAAATCATGCAAACAAGAAAAGAATGCAGTGAACTATTTAGCGTCGAGAGAAAAAAAAATCCTAGAATTCTGAACCCTGTGACATTAGCCATCAAAAATGAATATTATTCAGCCTTTGTTTCTCATACAAACAAAAACTGAGGGCATTTGTAGCCAATAGAACACCTTGCAAGGAATGTTACTTTAAAAAGTTCTTTAGAGAGAAGGAAAATAATATACGTCAGATATGCATAAAGAAAGGAAGAGCACCAGAGAAGGAACAAGTGAAGGTTAAATAAAAACTTTTATTTTTATTATTCTTTTTTTTTTGTTTTTTTGCCGTACGCGGGCCTCTCACTGTTGTGGCCTCTCCCGTTGCAGAGCACAGGCTCCGGACACGCAGGCTCAGTGGCCATGGCTCATGGGCCCAGCCGCTCCATGGCATGTGGGATTTTCCCGGACCGGGGCACGAACCCATGTCCCCTGCATCGGCAGGCGGACTCTCAACCACTGCGCCACCAGGGAAGCCCTATTTTTCTTATTCTTAATTGATCAAACAGATAACATCATGTTCAAAATAATAGCAACAATGTATTCAATGATTATATTTATGTGTATAAATATCCTTATATATAAATTGAATGAATGACAGCAATTATACAAGAGACAGAAAGGAGGAATTAGGATTACTTTGTTATTATAAGGTATTCATACTGTGGAGTGGCATAGGGTTATTTGAAAGTAGACAGATTAGTTGTAAATATGTATTGCAAACTCTGGAGCAACCACTAAGAAAATTTTTTTGAAAGTAAAATGGAGGGAATCTTGGCTGTCCAGTGGTTAGGACTCAGCACTTTCACTGTCATGGGCCCAGTTCAATCCCTGGTCAGAAAACAAAGATCCTGTAAACCGGGCAGCACAGCCAAAAAATAAAGTATGATGGATGTGCTAAGAAAAGAGACAAAATGGAATTATATAAAAGGTCCACTTAAAGTCACAAAAGGCAGAAAAAGAGATGAAGACAAAAATAAGATAAAAGAACAAGAGCAATAAATGGAAAATGGGAACAAATATGAGATATTAATCTAACAATGTCAATAATTAATTTATCAATGATCTAAATAAATCAATTAAAAGGCAGGTATCAGAGAGTGAACAAAAAATAAGACCCAACTGTTTATTGTCTACAAGAAATCCACTTTAGGACTTCCCTGGTGGCACAGTGGTTAAGAATCTGCCTGCCAATACAGGGGACATGGGTTTGAGCCCTGGTCTGGGAAGATCCCACATGCTGCGGAGCAACTAAGCCCATGCACAACAACTACTGAGCCTGAACTCTACAGACCACGAGCCACAACTACTGAGCCCATGTGCCACAGCTACGGAAGCCTGTGCACCTATAGCCCTTGCTCTGCAACAAGAGAAGCCACTGCAACGAGAAGCCCACACACTGCACAAAAGAGTAGTCCCCACTCGCCACAACTAGAGGAAGCCCGTGCATAGCAACAAAGACCTAAGGCAGCCAAAAATAAATAAATAAATAAATAGAAATCCACTTTAAATATAAACACATACAGATTAAAATTACAGGAATAGAAACAATGTTTTAAAAAATAAGTGTAAAGGGATAGAGAAAGATATAGCATGCTAACACTAATCAAAAGAAAGCAGGGGATATGTGGCATAGGTGATACATGATAGATAGATAGATAGATAGATAGATAGATAGATAGATAGATAGATGTATACATATATGCAATGGAATATTATTCATCCTTAAAAAAGAAGGAAATCCTGCCATTTGTGACATGAATGAACCCAGAGGACATTATGCTAAGTGACTTAAGCCAAAGAGAGAAAGACAAATACCATGTAATCTCACCTATATGTGGAATCAAAACAAACAAACAAACAAACAAAAAAACCCACCAAACTCATAATTAGCAGAGTAGAATGGGGGTTACCAGAGGTTGGGGGGATGGGGGAAAAGGGGAGATGTTGATCAAAGAATATAAACTTTCAGTTATAAGTTCTGAAGACTGAATGTACAGCTTGGTGACTGTTCATTCACCAAGTTAATATGTTGTATATTTGATATTTGCTAAGAGTAGATTCAAGTGCTCTCACCACACAGGGACAAAAAAGTAACAATGTGATGGGTATGTTAATTAGCTTGTTTGTGGAAATTAGTTCACAATGTATACATATATAAAAACATCATGTGGTACATATTAAATATATATGACTTTTATTGGTCAATCATACCTCGATAAAGCTTGAAATTTTTTTTAATTTAAAAAATAAAGCAGGAATATCTATATTAATTTCAGACAGAGCAGCCTGCAGAGCAATGAAAATTATTAAGGATAAAGAGGGACATTATATGATGTTTATATTGGTCAATTTTCCAAGAAGACATAACAATCCTTAACATATGTGTGCCTAAAAAATGTCAAAATATGTGAGGCAAAAACTGATAGAACTGCAAGGAGAAAAAATATATGTATCTATAACACATTGCGGGAGACTAACACACCTCTATTGGAAATTAACAGATCCAGCAGGCAGAAAATCAGTAAGGACATAGTTGAACTCAGCAACTCTATCAATGAACTGAAAATAATTGACATCTACGTGTGGTTGCCAAGGGGGAATGGGAGTAGGGGAGGGAGGGATTGGGAGTTTTGGATTAGCAGATGCAAACTATTATATTTAGAATGGATAAACAACAAGGTCCCACTGTATAGCACAGGGAACTATATTCAATATCCTGTGATAAACCATAATGGAAAAGAGTATATATGTATATATCGGAATCACTTTGCCGTACAGCAGAAATTAACACAACACTGTAAATCAACTATACTTCAAAAAAATAAATTTAAAAAAATTGACATCTATGGACTACTTCATCCAACAACAGAGGAACACACATTCTTCTCAGGCTCACATGTAACATTCACCAAGATAGACCACATTCTGTGTCATAAGACATACCTTAACAAGTTTAAAAAACAAATCAGACTGCAATCAAATGAAACTAGAAATAACAGAAAGATAGCTGGAAAATTCCAAAATACATGGACACTAAACAAGACACTTCTTTTTTCTTTCCATGTTAATGACTGTGTTTTAATTATTGCATCTTCCCCTTTACCAGAGTATTTATGAATTATTCTTTGTGTAATCCCAAGGTGCATTATTAATGCAAATCAAAGGACAGGTTAGTTATAAATATTAATGACCCAGGCAAAGTACCTTTGGCATGGAATTTCATAACACAGTCAATTTTCTAAACAACACACTTCTAAATAAAGCATGGATCAAGGAAGAAATCTCAAAAGAAAATTTAAAATATTTTAAACTAAATGAAAATAAAAACACAACTTAAAATTTGTGGGATGCAGCAAAAGCAGTGCTTAGATGGAAATTTATAGCAAGGGATGCATATATTAATAAAGAATAAAAATCTAAAATCAATTATCTAAGCTTCCACCTTAGGAAACTAGAAGAAGAAGAGCAAGTTAAATTCAATGTAAGCAGAAGAAAAGCAATAAAAATTAGAGCAGGAATCAATGAAATTGAAAACAATAAATTCTTAACAAGAAAATCAGTGAGAGCTTCCCTGGTGGCTCAGTGGTTAAGAATCCGCCTGCCAATGCAGGGGACACAGGTTTGAACCCTGGCCCGGGAAGATCCCACGTGCCGTGGAGCAAATAAGCCCATGCTCCACAAGTACTGAGCCTCCGCTCTGGAGCCTGCAAATCACAATGACTGACCCCATGCCACAACTACTGAAGCCCACGCGCCTAGAGCCCGTGCTCCGCAACAAGGAAAGCCACTGCAATGAGAAGCCCGTGCACCACAACGAAGAGTAACCACCCCCTTGTCTCAACTAGAGAAAGCCCACACACAACAACAAAGA